AGATCTCATTGATAGTCACATCAACTCTTGTTTTAAATTTGCTTACAAGACACTAGATGACCCTCTTCATCCACCACACCCTGATCTATCGTCTTGTCGTTCCCATCCGTCCACACGCTCCTCATTTCGACAGCTACCCTCTCGCATTAACATTTATAAAAAATCCCCTGTACCCTACCTGGCCCGACTACTCACCAAAAAGGAACAGGTCTCAAATGAACTACGTCAAATGCTTTGTACATGATACGTATATCACCGACCTTNGACCTTGTTTACCTTCTGTTTTGATTATTTTTATTTCATTCTGCGCGACGAACAATGTACATTTTTAACTGAAATGTAAGCATATATGCTTAAAAAAGTTACAAGTTACAAATAACCGGTCAACAGTGCAACGAAAAAAAGAAACCATTCAACTGCAGCGTTCATCTTTATTGTCCAACTGGTGTGTGTAACCGACTGCAAATGGCGAGTGACCATCTTCGAGAAATTATCCGAATTTGTGGTTTATCACGGTTACGTGGTCACTACAGATGATAAACAATAAAGCGGACCAAATTTACAACAGATAGATCGGATTCGATGAAAATAACCCCATTCTGTGCAATATTGCATCAAAATCCACATTTGGAAGTGTTTTGATCCGAGCATAGAATGAGATGCCCTTCGAGTTTATAAATCCATCAGTTAAAAGTGAAACAGGAAGAATGTGGTAGTTACAGTGAAAGGTCCAAATACCAGGATTTTATGAAAAATACAAAAGCTTGTTTCGACCATGAAAAACGTACTTTAAGCATTAGTTTTACTTTGATTCTTGCATCAATCAAGCATTTTCAACCCCAACGGAAAGAAAAGACTCAAAGATATTGATATAATACAGTGCTGAGTCTCAGTTCAGCTCAGTCTGTATAACCATTTAACATGCACATCAAGCGCTGGTTCTGGTTTCTATTTTTGGGTGGCCCGTTTGGATGAGCGGGTGGGAAAATTGGAAAGTTGTTAGCAGCTGGAGGAAAAAGTGGAGAATTATGGTGAACTAAGATTGCAAAGAAATTCAGAAACTCCACAACCACTATTGTTTACGAAACTCAGTCCAATGAATAAATAGCACTAACCATTGGTTACAACGATCTTCACGTCCCCATCCAGGAAGACTAATGTAACCTCATGATCGAGTCTCTTGGTCAGGTGCTATATAACCAAATGTCAGGTCTGTTTCACCACCCTTGGCTTTTTCTCACCAGTTACCCGCCTTGGAAAACATCGAGCGCCGTGGCAATCTATTTGGTGACATGCGTAACATATGCTTCAGCCAACGTAATCTATGGAGGTCGATCATTTGCTCCGGTTGGCGACCACGATCATCTAAAACTTTGCGTTTAAACTCAAAATCATCATCATTATCGTATAGCGAGATACAGTGAAGCGAACTTCATTGATCACGGCCAAGCTCACTATGTACACAAATCAGTGATAAAGCACGAGAGATGGAGAGGAATTGGGCCTAGTTGGAAGGAGGTAAAGAAAAAGAACCTCTACGGTCAACACACAGAGTACACAATCTAAGTGTGCATACATAGCTTTTCAAGCATTCTGGCCTGAAAAGAAATGGCAACAAGAACGACACTGCTGTTGCTTAGTCGCCATATCCTTCAATGTCTCCAGCCAGCCAGTTACAGAGCATTTCGAACCCCAACCGAATCGCTCGGGGCATTTATTCAGGCCTCGTCTCTAGGTCATCTGTTGACCTCAAAGCGATTTTTTCTATCCTTGAGCTGCATCTACAAACAAGGTGTGGTGCGGTGGACGACAGCTGGGCATGCACAATACATGTCCCAAGCGGCGAAAGCAACTAATCTCAATTCTGCGATGACGAATTCTCTGACGAATCATAAACATACGAGTAACGGCTTACCTTAGATTGATTACCCGTGCTCCAAACTCCGTAAAGATCGACAGTCGAAGACTTCTAGAAGATGAATATCTTTCACACGCAAATTTAGGGGCTCGCAATCGTAAAGCAGAACTAATCGCACAGTATACGAGACCGTATAGTTTCAAGATAACATTACGTCGCCACCAACGATAGTTCAGTGCAGTGCATGCTGCTCGTGTCTTGAAATTCAGGGTTTTTCACTAACCACGCAACTGCCTAAGTAGGAGAAAAATCCACATGAACTAATTCTTGACCATCAAACATCATTTCGCATTTTAAAGGGTCAAACCGCACACCAAATGGAGCTACAGAATTTGAACTTGTCAAGAGCGCTTTGCGCATTTTCCGTACATTCGAATAGGCAAGCGAGGTCGTCAGCGCACTCTGAATCCTATAGCTTTTCTCCAGCTGCCCATTCAATAACAACATTTT